CGGCCGGGCATCCCGGTGCAGCGCCCCTACTACTGCCGGCGGCTGCACCCCGAGCCCGAGCTGGCCGTGGTGCTGGGCCGGCGCACGCGGGGGGTGTCCCGCGACGACGCCATGCGGTACGTGGCCGGCTACGCGCTGTGCCTGGACATGACGGCGCGGGACGCGCAGGACACCTGCAAGGCCCGGGGGCTGCCCTGGACGCTGGCCAAGAGCTTCGACACCTCGTGCCCCGTGAGCGACTTCGTGCCCAAGGAGCACGTGGCCGACCCGCACCGCCTGCGCCTCTGGCTGAAGGTCAACGGGCAGCTGTGGCAGGAGGGGGACACGGCCGACATGCTCTTCTCCGTGCCCGAGCTCATCAGCTACATCAGCGAGATCATCACGCTGCACGAAGGCGACGTCATCCTCACCGGCACCCCGCCCGGCGTGGCGGCCGTGGAGGAGCACGACGAGCTGGAGGCCGGCATCCACGGGCTGGTCAGCATGCGCTTCACGGTGGTGCAGCAAAGGCTGGGGGCGTGAGGGGGGGCCTTGGAGCTGCCCCCGTCCCTGCGTTTCTCATGCGCCACGCTGGGTCTGCAAGTTGGCTCCTGGTTCCCAGGGAATAAAGAACCAACTTGGTTCTTTGGGAATAAAGAACCAGCTTTGCTCCTTGGGGATGAAGAACCAACTTTGCAATGAAGAACCAACTTGGCTCCTTGGGGATGAAGAACCAGCTTTGCAATGACAAATCAGCTTTGCTCTTTGGGGATGAAAAACCAACTTTGCATTGAAGACCCAACTTGGCTTCTTGGGAAGGAAGAGCCAACTTTGCTCTTTGGGAATAAAGAACCACTTTGCAATGAAGAATCAGCTTTGCTCCTTGGGAATGAAGAACCACTTTGCAATGAAAAACCAACTTGGCTCCTTGGGAAGGAAGAGCGAAGTTTGCAGTGTAGAACCAAGTTGGCTTCTTGGGGATAAAAAACTAGCTTTGCAATGAAGAACCAACTTGGCTTCTAGGGATTGATGCTTTTGGATCTGTTGAAGGGTGGGGGGTTGGCGTTGCATCGGCTCTAAATGGGCATCAAGTTTGGACGGTTAATAAAGCTAAAAAAGAAAACAGGACTGGAGTGTTTCACTGGCCTTAAAAAAAGAGAGAGAGAGAGAGGGCGAGGGTGGGAGTGTGTTGCTGGCTTGTGTATGGGGTGGAGCTCGGGAAGGGAGCTGCCCCTGCAAGTGCTGGCAGCTGGGTTCAATGTTTAGCACAAGGTCAGGCTCTTGTCGTCACCCAAAGCTCACGGGGACAGCAAAGGTTTGGGTTAGTGGTTAAAAGGTGAAGAGGGGGAGGCTGCAGCACGTGCCTGGGTGCCGGGGATTAAACACTGCGTCACGCCACGGACCTGCTGCGGTGCCAGGGCTGGAGGCCTGCAGGCCTCTCGCTCTCTGGTGCGGCATCAGAGCTCAACTTCCAAATCTAGGAGCTCCTGTCTGGTGTCATCGCTGAGTGTGTGGGTGGCACCTGCTGGGTCTGGGCACTTTGGGAAGAGGACAGCTTTCTTTTCAGTGCTGTGTCGGGCACTGCATGTTCATCTTGGAAAGACCCGTTGTGTTTGAGTGAGACAATTACCTCCAAAGGCCAACGTTTGCAAAACTTCAGAAATCAGCATCGTCCTTAGGTTGTTTAACCCCTTCCCCCTCTCCGCTAGGCAGGGCCACAAATTGACTCTGTTTTTCCCCTGTGCAGATGCACTGGCTGCCACTGCAGCACGCTCCCCGCAGGTACATGTTTTAAAGCCATCGTCTTCAATGAAAGTAGCATGAACCAGCAAGGAGGCGAAATAAAAATGAACTGTGAAGACTCAAGATAGCCAGTGCCCTCCCAAAGGGAACTCACCGGTCTGTGTCCCAGGAGATCAGAATGACCCATCAGAGGAAATGTGTGATCTCCAGAGGTGGCTATTAACTGCAGTGCTGCTTCAACCTCCTGGTGCTTCACTGAATAGGAGTTCATCCCCAGTTCAAAAAGAAGTAGCATATCCGTACTGCATTTAGGAAGGAAAAAGCATTAGGAACATTAACATGGGGATTTAACACTGTTGTGAAATGCTTTTATTTGTGAGAGTAAAATTAGTACACGAGGAAGCTTGTTCACGACTGATTTAACCACCTGACTAATCCTGCTGGGGTCTGTTTGAGGGACCAGGCTCTGGCTAAGGGGTGAAATGGAGCATAAAAAGCCATCAAATGTACAACTAGAGGGAAAAAAATTAAGCAGTTCTTCCAGTTCTTCAATGTAGGCCGCAATCTTGGACCCTTAAGCGTACTCTTGACCACAAACATGCCTGCAGGCCTACTGAGGACACGCACCTGCTTACGGTGAAGTGCACACTTGGCTGTTTGCAGGGTCAGAGTCCTTGTTGTGTTGCTATAATACCAGTAGCTACAATGTGTTTGGACTGAAATGTTGGGGTTTTCCCCGCCTGTTCTCCCTCCTGTCTCCCACTTCCAGACTTGTACTACTGCAACCGGTTTCTGTGGTGTGAAATGAGGGCCCGAATTAATCTACCAAAATATCCTGCCCATCAGAAAGTATCCCTGGCACTCTTGTATGTGAAAGGTCACAGCTCTGCAGAAGCTGAGCCTGCTGCAGGAGCCAAAACTTGCACAAACAGCCTTTGAATGACCTCTGTTCATGAGAGGGTTTTTTAGCTTGAATTGGGTTTGTCAACTTGTCTCTAGCTAGTTGCCTAATCATGTGGCCCTGGCCTTGTTCCCTGGTGCTTCACTGCATCAAAATACAACCAAACAAGTACATTCTTTCCTGTAAACAGTTGCTGTAGCTGCAAGAGCCGTGTTACAAGTTCACCAACGGTACAATTATGGTCAGAGCACTTGCAAATGGAAGGTAACTGTCTATGCACACGTTTCCCTTTGAAAAACAAACCAAACAACTGGGACTTTTCAAACTACCATAATGTAAACCCTTTGCCGCCCCCCTCAAATATAACTACAGTAAACATGCAACTAGAAGGGAAGACCTACATGACTGCATGTGGGCCAGGCGCTGGTCACCACCTTGTAAAACATTTTAGAAGGAATCTAGAAAATTCAGGCTGGAAGGGACCGCAGGTGGTCACATCTAGTCCAACCACCTGCTCCAAGCAGGACCAGCCCCAACTACATCATCCCAGCCAAGGCTTTGTCTAGCAAGGATGGAGAGTTCACAGCCTCTCTGGGTAACCTGTTTCAGTGCTTTACTGCCCTCCTCATGAGAGAGCTTTTCCTGATATCTAACCTAAAACATCCCTTGCTGCAACTTGAGCCCAACTTGAGGAACTCTACGAGCAGAGTATTCCAACTGGTCTGCAGTGCACATTGCAGCCCTTGCCTTGTTCTTCCCTGTCCGTTGTAGGAAGCGTCATTAATCATACACTTCGGATGTTATAACCATAGCTTGCAAGGACCTATCTGTATTACAGACAGAATTTTATTGAATGTGTGGTTACAACAGTTATTCTCAAATAGAGGTAGCGTAATAGCTGCATTTGAAATGAACAGCTAATTTTATTGGCTTTGGACTGTGGCCCTTGGATTGTTGCATGGTACTGATTTGTATTATACCTCCACACCAGGACATCTGAGAGAGTCAGGAAGGGATTGTTTTGAAGCAGTGTTGCTGCCCCATATATGACAACTGAACTGGCAAGTCCACAGGACTCCATTGGGAAAGAGAAATACCATAGAAGAGTTACCTACTTTTCTCCCCCAAAAAGTGGAATAATCCTTTTTGGCCAGGGAACACAGAAGTTTGGTAGATCAGCAGTCATGGAGGATGATTCTTGGCTAGGTACACTTCGGTTTTTACCAAGCCATCGTCTATTCTAAAGGACTTCCATGCTATATAAGGTCACAGAAAATATCCACTTCAGTGAACCAAGAATTCAACTTCAGAAAGAATCTCTCCCCTTGGAATACTTTGCAATAAAAACATGTTTGCTGCTTAGATTAAATAACTTTTTTTTATTCTACTGTGCATTTTTAAAACATACTACAAATTGGATGAAAAATTGCTTTCCTCCAAGATGCCAGACAGATTTTTTGCTAAACTGAGTCTTAAATAAGCTTTTATAAGTATAATAATATAAAACAGAAGGATCAGAAAGATAGAAGTCCAGTTGTAAAGATCCATAGTAAACTTATTTCTCTTTTACAAAAAAACAAAATATAATTACTGACCAAGCATTCTTTATATAATAATGGCGTGCAACAGTCACAGTTTTTAAATCTTTCCAGCTGCTAAAAAGACATACAGTGTAATTTTTTTCCTTTTCCAGAGAAGTTCTGACTGGCTTCAACGGGATCTGCCAGTTTGCATGAAAGTAAATTCACCCTCAATCCGGTTCTTGAACTGGGTGATAAAAAACCCTGCAAAAACAATTAAATTATGTAAAATATTTCAAAACTTGCTATTTTCAACATTACACAGAGTTTCCCACTACATTAACTGAAGTATCTTGCTTATTTTTATTACATATGCATGAACACCAGAGTCAAGTGCTCAAACTATATGGGAACCCAGAGACTCTGAGTTAAGGGGAGATTTGAATTTTTTTTTATATACAGAATAATAATTAAAGAAGAATTGGAAGCCAGCAAGCAACTTTGTGAAACAGGAGGACTGAATGGGTAGTGAAGTGCATGGTAAAAATTAAAAAATTGGGAAGTACTGCATAAAAACAGCACATATTCTAACAATGGCCTTCTTCAGTGGTGTGTATCTACTATAGTTACTGATCCCATGCTAGGAGATTCTGAGTACCATGTATTTTCTCTGAACACACCATTTGGGTGACTGATTACAAAAGGTAATATAAAAGGTCCTGATCCTGCATCTTGCATGTTTTATTTTAGTCACAACTGTCCTGTTTAAGTCAGTAGCTTGAAGTTAAGCAGAAATACAGTTTTTGCCAGATCGGGGCTTTGTAATGAGTAGTGGCAAGATGCTGTAGACCTCATTCGGGTTCTCTCTCGAGAAGGCCTGTAGAAATCAAGCGCCACAGAAATTGCCACCCTGGTGTTAAATTCTGGTGAGGACAATTACTTTCTTGAAATAATTAAAATGTATGTGTGTATAAATTCACACGCTTTTATATTTGTCAACAGGAGCAGTAGTTAGAAAGTTTTGACAGCTGTTGTTTTACAGCTGTTAAAAGCTTAAAAGGAATGTTTTCCCCAATGCAGAAATAAGGTTGTTTCCAGTTAACTGTGGTCATGACATATATGTATACTAACCTTAAAATAAATTTTGCTCCGTTCCAAAAGAAGGTGCCACTTTAATGCTGTCTTCTGCCCCTCTGTAAGGGTGAGGAACTCTTGGACCTATTGATATGATCAAATAACATATGTTTCTGGAACACAGCAGACTGAAGATGATCAAAATCAAAAGAAACATTAAAACACAATTTTCCTTTAAAAATATTAATTTTAAAGCTAGGGAATATATGCTTTAATTAGAGTAAGGTCTTACGAGGATGGGCACCATTTTAAAATATCTTAAATATAAAATTATTCTTATTTCTGGTAATTTGTTGGCTTCTCTGACAAGGGTAACAACTATATAAGAATGTTCAAACTTAATAGAGCAATGACTGTAATTTCAGGTTGCTTCATACAACTAGAAAGCTCAGATCAACTGTAGGAATCAGATTTCTGCTGTTATTTACCGTGCAACCTAATGTTTCTTCAGCTATACTGTCCGAGAGGTTGCAGGAATAAAGAGTGCCTGTGTGATCTGTAAGATCAACCAGTACATCAAAACTAGTAAAGACAGAGTTGGCGTCCGAGGGACTGTCACTGCAAAAAGTACATATGTTTGACGTTTCATTCACCACGTAGCGGCACCTTGAGCTGCAAGAAACAAGAAAAGAAAGAATTAAAACAAGTCTGTAGTTACTGCATGTTCCTACACCCCCCACCCCCTCCTCAAATAAGGCAAACACGTTCTGGGAAGGCAGCATAAAGGGCGGAGGGTGGGATTTGTCCAGAGTCTTCCCAGCCACAGCATGGGCACACCGGGCTTTTGTACGTTACGCGCCGCCTAGATATGTATGTCACAAAATGGCAGCAAAAATCGCCATTCCGCTAGCTTAGTCACATCTGAAAATACACATTGACCTTTTTTATTGTGGTAGATTTCAAATTATTGTGGTAAATTAAACCACCTCCAACATGTTTTATTTTCAGCCTGGCAAATTGTGCCAACAGGATTATTTGTATCATGATGGCTTTGAAAAGTGTGTTCCCAGACACCATGGCTGAATTGCTCCAAGCTGCAGGGAGGTGGGGCAGAGTCCAAGCTGCTGCCAACTCAGCAGTGGCTGTAGCAGGGTTAAGCCTTTAGCTTTGGGCTGCAAGGAGAGGGTGAATGACCTTGAGAAATGGACTCCATCCCTCATGCACGCGGCTAAGAAGGGGGCACAACCCTGGACGTCCATTCCAGTGTCTCCATGCCTCCACTCCAGTGTGGGAATCATTTTCCTTACTTAAAATACACACTCCAAGTTAGGATGGCTAATTCGGGGAGGAAAGGGTGCAGGTGGGATATGAGTAAATTCAGCATTTTTTGTCAGTCTGAAATTGTTCTCTGGGCCATCTAACCTTCCTCCAAACCCATACCTCCAAGAAACTCCTTCCCAGCCACAGTTCTTTATTTTCTATAATCAACATCTAGCACAGACAAACTGGCCCTTGCTCTGAAATCCTTCCCCCAAGACAAGAGACAGCAGGTTCTATTGTTATCCAATTCTGACGCTCGAGGGACCTCTCCAGTCTATGCAGCACAGTTTCATTTTACTTACCCAAAACTAGGTTAAGCACTGGTTCACCTGTGTTATATGGAATTAAAGAAAGAACAGTAAAGTTTCCCGGTATAAATATAAAGCAAATGGTTGCTTACCATCTGTTTCGTATAATTTTAGATGCATTGTTATCAATATTCAAGGTAGAAAGATAAGCATAAATAATGCCGTAGATGGGTTCAGGTTTTCCCTGATTCTGCACAGCTTTTATCTTCACTTGTTCCACGGTATAAATGTCAACTATAGACTGCACTAAAGATTAGAAGAGTTAAGTTGTTAAGTATATCCAAAAATACTAAGGACCAAAAAAGGGTTAGATCCAAAAGGAAGAAAAGACTTGACCTAAGCCCATCAAAAGCAACAGAAAGATTCTCAATTCCCTAAATCGGCTTTGAATCAGGCCCATAATTAAATATTAAAAACATAAAATTTCAATCAGAAAATCATCTTCAAATTTAAGATCTGCAACTCAGAGAGGGTAAGTTTTACTTTAAATCGTTTAAAAGACAGTACCTGTTCTGCTTTAATTTACATGTTTTCTTTTCTAAATAAATACATCACAGATGGTGTTTATATACTAATCGTTTTCTAATTTAGTCAAGTCAGTGCATTTCCAAGAGTGGCACATTCAACTGGCTGCAATTAGGCACATTCAAGGGACATAACTTTGTCCAGTAATTTGTAGAACAGCCCAATAACATATCAATCTGATGTCAGTGAGAGTTTCTCCTCCAATACACTCTGATTCAGTCTCCAAAAGCAAATGTAGCCCTACAGAACAGAATATAAAAGTAATTTCTATTCTGAAATACTTACAATTAATAGATTCTTTTGATTGATCCTCTATTTCATCATCCAACAGCCCCAATTCTGCAGTTTCCTTCACAAAGCTGAACATGTAATTTGCTTCTGGCGTGTCTTGAAAAATATGTAAAAAAAACCCCAATAAATATATGTAAGGTATTACAATGGCCACTTGTCTAAATTTTGAAACTACTTGTATTGTGCTAGCACCAATGTCACAGTTTGCAAAGAGATGCTTCTTTTTTCTTCTCTCTGCTAACCATCTAGGGAGTGAATGAAGGACATTTAAAAAGAGACCAAGAGACGAATCATAGAAACCAGAAAATCTTGGTCGCTAAGCACATGACTGTCTCTTGCCTGCAGAAGGGAAAAGACCCACTAAAACCTAATCCAAATGCTACTGAATCAGTGCCAGAATTCAAAGATAAAAGCTTAATGGTATCTGAAGGACATCTTAGAGCAGGGTGTCAAAGTAAATAATAACAAGTCTAACTCTTTACCCTAAGACTCACAAAAGTGAGGTACCTCTGAGGAAAGCATCAGAACCAGCTCCTTCGCTGTACTGCTGCTCATTCTACTGTCATAACCATGCCTATTTAGGCATCTTGTGTCATGGTGAAGGCAAAAGATTTCGTTAGGCTAGGTCAATCAGACATCCACATAGTTTAGGATGCTTTCCAAAGGTCTGTATCAGCTGTTGTCCGACTGTCCACTCTCCACACCCCAATATCTAGATCCTCAGCATAAAGTGTTTGCATAAAATGATCCCACAAACTCAGAGGGGTCTGGGTCTGCACAAAGCCCCCTTCTCAGCTTCCTTCTCAACCTACTTGTTATGATATTTGAAAATCTGAGCCTCAGAAGGGACACTGCTATTAATTTTACAAAACAAGGGTAATACCACATTTACACAAGACAAAAAAAATATAGAAAATGCTCCTCACTGGTAAAGATGACTTACAGCGTAGGCAGCTAGTGTTAGATCAGGCTGTTCTTTTTTATGTGAAAATTTATTTTTCTCATGTCTCCACATGCAGACAAGCTGCGAGTATGCCAAGCCCAATTCTGCACTCAAATGTTCATACTCACCATTCAGCAAAATCCATAAAAGATGCTTGTGTAAATCTGAGGGCTGAACTCAGCCCAAGAATTCATTAATCAAAACAAATTTATATTAGGTTTGCATTTTGAACCCAACTGAGAAAGGAAACAACAAATTCGTTCCACAATACTTAATGGACGACACCTACATATAAATGACTGATTTGACATTTCTGTTAAATACTGCAATGATAGATGTTATACAAAAAAACATAAACAGGCTAGCTAGAAATTAGCTGCTGTAGGTAGAGACATCCTTTAGATAAAATTACCAAATCTGACACATGCATTAAATCTGAAACAAGATAGTTCACATTTTCAACTGAAATATTTATGCACTGTAGTCCACGATAGTTGTCCTACTCCAACACGCATCCTCCAGGCCACAGGCCACACTCACACCTCCATGCTGCGCTGCGAGGGACCTCCTACCACACTGTATGATAGGCACCCCCCTTCCACGTTGCTGTGCTGTGCTGGCACCCTTGTGCTATGCCACATGGGCCCCTCTTACTCCCCAGCTGCAGGCTCCCTCAGCCTGGGGCAGAGGCAGCAAGTGGAAATTGGAGGAATAAGGGGGCACCCAGAGACCCCAGCAAAGTGATAAGGAAAGCATTGCCCAGACCAGGAGCTCAGTAGCTATAGGTAACCCCTTAGGGACCACATGCAGCCTATGGCCCATTAGTTAGACACAACCCTGGTCTACGATATATGATTTTTAGTAGAGAAGATGTATTAACAGTCCCTTACCTGGATTAGCTGTAATAATTGTTTTGGAGATTACAGTCGCTGTCATGCAGTTCCTAAATTTGTCAAAGTTTATTCTCACATCTGATGCAAATATGACTGGGCACAAAAACATGGTTCTTTGTTATTTCAGCATCCAGGTAAAGATAAAAACAGTAGCAGAAATGTTTCACAAAAACGAAGGAACGGCGTAGTACCTGTGTCTCGTGGCATCCAAGACTGTGCAAGCTGGATGGATTCATTATCCCAACTGAATTTTTAAAAAAAAAGTGTTTAATAGTGAGAGTATTGGGGAACATCAGTGCAAAATGTATGTTACAAATATAGGCAAACAAGGTTCCTTGGGCGAATTTGATATCTTTTATTAGACCAACCCAAATGGTTGGAGAATAGTTATTAAGCAAGCTTTCGGGTTCAAAAACCCTTTGTCAGGCTAAGGAAGCTGCAGCAGTTGCTGCGTGCTCTTAGTCTGATGAAGGGTTTTTGAACCCGAAAGCTTGCTTAATAACTATTCTCCAACCATTTGGGTTGGTCTAATAAAAGATATCAAATTCACCCAAGGAACCTTGTCTGCCTATATCCTTAGTCCAACACGGCTACAACCTAAACCCCTGGTACAAATATATATTTTTAAGCCTTTGTTCCACTAAGGGACATATTAAACAAAATACCATTATGAAATGGCCAGAGGCACACCAATCTAGCCTTTACGCATGTATGGACAATTCTGTGCAAGCTATTATCTCCATGTGCAAATGACTTGGGGCTTATCTACATAAGGAGGTCTAGTTTGCACTAAGCTGGAGCATATTAACTGTTGTGTTTTAGAGGATATACTAGCTCTGTGCACAGGGACAGCTGGCTCTTGTATATGGAAACAATTATTTGTACTGTAAAACAATTCCTAGGCATTAAATGCTCAGTGCTGTAGTTGCATATGCCATGCTCCTTTGTCCCCAAACTGGGCCTATGCTTTAAGGGACAGATATCAAAGCCATCCAGAGCAACTGCAATTTTGCGACCTGAAGCCAAACTCAGAGCCTCACAATTCCTCTCCCTCCATCCCATGATCCATCTCTTTTTGTTTACTCGCTGGCACCGTTTTCAAACCATCATTAGCCAGCACAAACAAAAAAGTGCTCTGTACTATAATGTTGGTCACTACAGATACACAGTTGAGATTTATTTGACATCTCACTGCCAGATGGTTTCAGCTATGCAAGCCAGGCACTGCCCTACTGCAAAGCGTTTTCAACAGTTTTGGCAGCAGCACCAACAGCTAGCCCACCTGCAGCTGTACTAGGACAATGAGAAGATGATGACCAGATGGATCTTGGATCAACTTCACAGAAGTAAAACAGTGTTGCTAAACTTGCGAAACAAGTCTTCACTGATGAGAGAAGACTCAACTACAGGCCCTGGATAAACAGCAGTGGTTGCAAAACTTCAAGGTGACGAAAGAGCACCTTTTTGGAGATCTGCACAGCATTCGCCCTAGCTCTGCTGCATAGATCACTGCAGCATGGCAGGAAAAGCAAAGCCAACCAAAGAAGCGTTTTGCGGACTCAGTGAAGTCCCACTTTGTTCATAGCAGGGTATCAACCAACTGCTGAAAATTGCTGACTGCAGACAGACAATGGCATGCAATAGTCCAAGAGCATGTCGACTTCTTTGAGTAGTGGCACAGTGCCAGAAAAGTGCACGCTTTTTGCAAGAAAAGCTCGTTAGGGCTTATGGTACAACAGTGGTAAAAGTCACAGACTGAGCATCAACCACAGAATTGTGGGTTGACTACAAAGCACACAGCTGAAGCTTTTGTTGCAAATTGGACAAAGTCATATGTTCAGCGCTAGGAATCATTTGACTGCTGACTCCTTAGGTTGAGATGGCTGGTTTGATTAGTCTTAGATGATTTGGGCAGGGATTGAAGATGAATGTTCGTGCGGGCATATCTGTACTACATGGTGTTTTGTTGGGCCTCTCACTACCAAGGCTGGCTGGCACCCAGCACCCAAGGACTAACTGTTCTATTTTCTTGTGTGCCCCTCTACAGCTTTGCGGTTATGTTGACCAGATGACTGTTCCCTGTTTAAATGCCAAGGTTGGTCCTTGTGCAGTTGCAGACTTAGGAAATTGGCATCAACATACTGTAGCTGGCATGACCACACACTACGAACACTATCCCACGCACCTGAATGGAGTCATGCAGAGTTCCAGCTCAGGAAACTCTTAAGCTGAAACATCACAAGGATATTTTGAGGCTACTGCTGATGGGGCAGTGGGAAAAGATTGCAACTAGAATCTCATGAAATTTTGGAACAAAAGGATCAGAAATCCTCTCACAAGAAAAAAAAAAAACATCTTTTCAATAGACATGCTCACTGATGATACAATTTCAGTGAAGCACGGTAAAACAGAGTCACACTTAGGTGCCATAACTCCAATTATGCCCCTAATAGGCTGAGCTGAATCTGCCCCAAATTATATTTGGAAGCACAAATAGCTGTACACCCAAAAGGCTGTGCAAATAAAATTGTGGGCACTAAAAGACAGTTGGGAAATTTAGCCATGAAGTGATCACCACATATTATTTTAAGGGTTTACTTTTATTCCATTTGGCCCTAAGTCTCCTTCTCTCTATTAATTCTGGTTGTCTCTCTCCAAAAATTTTATATTCCCTTTTGTTTTTGATGTTTGGTTTCGAATGAAATGCACTGTATTTGCAACTGTTTTAGAATAGCATGTGCAGAATTACTGCATACGTAACAGTAAGTTAACCTGACATGCACTAAGAGATTTAATGGTAGCATAACTTACCTATGAACATGCTTATAGGGTTGTTTAAAAAAAAAAATACAGAAAGGGTAGGCCTATGGTTGATGTAATACATTCCTTTGAATAAAGAAAACATCTAGTGGTCTGATTACAAACAATTTCTTTACTTACTCATATCACTGACAGCCTTTCCTAATTCATTTGGAGCTCAGCTTCATTCTTCCACTCTTGAACTATAAGTTTGTCAATAGCTCACAGGAATACATATTATAGCCAAGGTCACTTTATTGAATATCTTTTATATGTAATATTGTTTAATGGATATTGCTGCCATTTAATGGATATTGCTGCCTCATCAATGGCCAACCAATTAATAACTTATTTCAATTAACTGAAAACAAAATTATAGCAATATGAACTATGTTCAATATATTCTTTCTTTGCCTGTCCTTGCATTGATTTGTATATTTAATCATGAATTAGAGCACATTTACCATATCATTGGAAAGGACATCTCTGTTTCATCATACAGTTTGACTTCACACCTCTGACCTTTTCTTTTGTCTGAAGTGATGAAGTACTTGGGCTCCCCAACCTTTGAAAGGTAAGAAAAACTGTTACTCTAGTTAAGATGCATAGAAAAATGAAAAAGGCTAAGTCAAAGGAACTTAAAAAAAGTAACAAAGAAATGACAAAAAGTATAGACAATGTGATTGTGCTGTCTTTTACCTTTCTAGGAAAAGGTTAATTAATCTTGTTGTCATTTCAACAAAACTGAATCAATTTATGAGACTATCCACTAATATTCTGTTTTCTGGACAAAAATGCTCATTTCTGCACATCCTTGAAGCATGTAGCTGGGAGATGTCCATTCTCATCCATCTCCAGCAAGATTCTCACATTCTTGAATCTTTAATATTTTGTATATAGAGTAGCAGAGCTTTCAGGCTATGCCATGAGCTGGTGTATGCCAGCATGCATCTTGAATAAGTCCTACCATCCTAAAACTTAAATCACCCTAGATGCATTAACTAATATTTAGCTTATAAAATGTGGATTTGCATACATATGATGCAAAATCTGACATAAGTCATCAAGGTGTACTTTTGTACCAGATACAGCTTTGTATATATAAGATCTTGCTGTAAGTTGCATCTTGCTTATGAACACCAAAAATATTTTTAATCACTGTTATTCTTCCTTAGTCTTAACTCAACCTAAATTACTGCTGACTAAGGCAGAGGGGGAAAAAAATCACTCCAGCCAGTCATGACCTTATAAATCTATATCTACAGTGAAATCAATTAAGTCATCAGGGCTAAAGCAGAAAAGCATTCTTCATTTTGTTGTGACACTTTTAACTTACGAACTTTACTGCTGCAAGCACATTAATGATTCTTCCATCAAGGCTTTGTCCATTTGCAACAATGTCACCCAGTGAATAAAAATCTTGAGGATCTTTCACAGGTAGATGCAACAAGGAAAGTAGCTGGGTGCCCACTTCATAACGAGAACAAATTTGGACCACTGAATGATTCTCACTGAGCAGTAATTTGTAGCAGCTAAGTCGCACACATAAAAAAAGAGACATACACATCACTAACATATGGTGTCCAGTGAAATATTACCTCAGTTCATAGCGAACAATGCAGTCAATCTTTTTCTATATGATTTACATTGAGGATGATAAAAGGTTAGGAAATGAAGTTGCTTTATCTTTGTAACATGACATTAATTTTTCATCCTAATGAAAACTATCTGACTGCAATACACTTCATAGTTATTTACTATTGAGAAATCCATGTGAATTACTACAAATGTAAAACCCAAATCTATACTTCTTTCAGCACTTCATAAGTAATTTTTATTTGGTGATATGTGCTCTATGTAATGAAACTTTTACAGAGTGCCGAGTCATATACTATTAATGTCGCTATTTATCAAATTAACATAGCGTATGTAAATAAAACTGTTGGGGGCCAGTATGGGTAAAACTACTAACACCACATACACAAAAGGGAACATTAGCCAGAATAAGCCAGTTGCAAATGCCTGTAAACCACAAAAAAAGAAAAGGCTGTTGCTTTTCTAGCTCAAACAAAAAACATTCCTCCACCCATATCTCCAACTGGAATTGTCTGGCTAAGATTTTTGTGTATTTGTTCAGCATCTGTAACACAATCAGCTCTGAATTCATGTCTATGAGGTAGTCAAAAAGGATACCTGAGCTGGCTTTAAATTAGCTAGTTTGTGAATGTAAATTTGTGTATTTAAATTAGTTAGTTTGTATATCATAGCTCTAACTGCAACAGCACAGAGCTTAACATGAGCTAATTTGCTCAGCTTCTTTTGGCAGGTTAAATTGTTGCATTTAGTTCTGTGCTGCTACAGGTATGCAAACTACTTAATTCAAAATGACCGTGATTATCTCTAGATATATCTCGGGTATCTTCAAAACATGCCCCAGGTGAGTCTTATAATGCTAGCTAGTTTTACGAGGCCAGAGCAATTAGTCGGGCTTTTTCATTCCCCCATAGGATATTTGTTGCAATACTAATGAAATTAAAACAACAGTAATATCATTGAAACTAATTTTAAAAAAAAAATTATGTTTTCCAGCTAAAGACAGCAAATGGCTTCTGGTAAGATTAGTCATCCCTCCAGAAAATTATTCAGTATTTAATTAAACACAAGGGGATAAAGTCATTTTTGGAACAGACTCCATTAACTTCACAAGATTTTAGCCCAGTGATAAAGTTAGTTCTACTTAGGTAAAGGTATCATGAGGAAAGCCAAGAGTCCATAACACGACTGAATAGATCTTTCCCCTACAGTTGTTGAGTAATGTATATCAGTGTAGAGGATACAGAGAAATACTTGGCTATGTAAAATTAATCTTACAGTGTCCAAGGGGTATTGCCCATCTGTTTAATCTAACAATTAAACACCATGTTTCTTGTGACCATTCAAAAAAGGCAGACACTACTTTAAATTTACCTAGGAGTTGGTGGGTTGAATTTTTCTTCCTTTTCTGTCTCCTTTGTTTGTACTAAAGGATTTTCAATGGTAACTGAAATAAAGCATTGTAGTAATTTAATACTGCTTTTCAAAAAACTCACACAAATATGTACAGAGAATGCATCTGGAAACTAGTTAGTTGTTCCAGGGCATACTTCAAAACCACATAATCGTTACAAGTATTTTTTATTTAATGCATTCAGGATAAAATTAATATCTATGCAGAGTGTGTGTGAGAAGGCAATATGCCAAATTCACTCATGATCCTAAATTATTTAGAGGAAATAAAGAGATAAATAGCCCTTGGGCAGACTCTGCATAGAGGTGACTCACTCCAGTGCCCTCGCCCAAAGCCCAGCGATAATAATGGGCATCTTCCCACTGATTTCATGGGCCTACAGCTCAGAAAGGAAATACATAAATCAGAGCTGTGATTTTTTTTTCTTTGTAATTTTGCGATCATTTATGTTAACTTATTCTTAAAGTTTTCATGGGAATAAAAGTGTCAATTAAAAACATTATTTTAATACAGTCAATTGGCATTATATGTAAGAATTGTGCACAATATGAAAATGTACTTCTATTAAGGATGGCTAGATTCCAAGTAGCAAATTTTCTGTTTATTCACAGGGTTTTTGTTGACAACTTTGCTATATTTGAGTTTAAATTCTAAAATGTTTACTCCTCCTTCTCTTATACTTAACTGAACAATTTGTTTCCAATTAGGCTGTTTTCTAAGTCCCCAGAGGAAAATATAGTAAAACCGCAAACACATAACTGATTTAGTAGGGGGGAAAAAAAACTAGTCAAACAGAAATATGTTAAGAATAAACTCAAACTCACCACAGTCACCAACTCTAAAGCTTTCTGAAAGTGATCTAATATATTCCTCTCTTCCCCAAGAATGTACATTTATAAAGTAAGTTGGTGAATCTCGAATGGTAAAACTGAAGGTGAACCTTTCAGAGCCAATATCTGTAAACAGAAACAGTGCTTTCAGAGTCAGTTTGAATCAAAATATAATAACCACATCATGAGTCTAGTATTATGAGACTCGTCTAGGTTTTATCATAACGTTAAATAAATACAAGTTACTGTCCAGTAATCTGGTGAATACCACTAGAGGTCAGTAGTTTGGGTTTTTTTACAATATTAAGATTTTCTGGAATTTATATGGCTATTAGCAGTGTTATTGTCCAAACAGCCACTCTGCAAGTCAACTATGTTTGGCAACTTTCAAATGTAGTCAACTTGTATGCAAATTTTCCTTCCTTAAAAAAAAATAAATAAATAAAAAGTAAGTAGTATGAAACTTGTCACCGAAATCAAAAACCACACCATTTGCTGCACCCATCAAGATATATCTTTAATACGCCTATTATAATTATTATGAAGGATTTCCAGAAGTGTTTCTATTAGATACAAGCTGAAATTGGCACCATATCCCCCAGGCCCTCAGGCTGGGTTGAGAAATCTGGATCTTGGGCACTCCTGCTTTGGAGCTTTCCAGAACAAACTCTAATTGATGAAACTTGGCCAAACCAATGCTGGTCTTTCCCCCACTGTAAAAATAAATTCTTGACTATTTATTAATAAAATAAGAAGGCTGTTCATTATTTAAATATTCCTGAACCCGATATAAAGACTAAATAAAGCTAAAAAGAGCATTACTTCTTCTGTCTGGAAAGCCTTTGGCATCTGTTTTCCCAATAATCACACCAATTATGCTCTAAAAAAAAATATATATTATAGATTGTAAATATTAAACACAGATGCACATGATAAATAAGATTTCATGGACTTGTCATACTCTGCTGCTGATGATAAACATATTTTTGGCTGGGGACCATTTTAATATATTAATTCCAAACTGCCATATGAAGTAAGAATATAAACATTTCATAAAAATATAGAAACTAACACAAAATAAGAATCCTACATGTCCTCCCTATGTAAAAACCATAGAAGAAAAAAAGTTACTCAGAAATTTCCATATTTTTGCTGTCCCATAGTATCCTCCCCTCCCAGATTAGAAGGGTAGCAGAACAGTGAAGTGGTTCCCATACATGCACTGGACCAAGATCTCCTTAAATTCACAAGGGAGAGTCCATGGCATTCAGTCTTACTGTATTTTCAATAGTTATACTGCAACAGGCCCTGGACACGAGCACCACCCAAATGTTCTGAACACTGAACAAATCAAGGGCAACAAGATAGTTCCTGCCCCAAACAGTTCATAATTTAGTGTAAAAACAGAAGTTACATAGGCATACAGGTAATGCAGAGTACACCAGAAGCCATACAGAAGCACAGACAGAAACAAGGAAACAACGAAAGAATTTGCACACAAACTATTTAACACAAGGTAAAAGGAGGCCGATTTATTGTGCATCTGCTGCTGTGAGGTAACTGTCCTTGCGTGCATGGTCTTACCTTGTGGTAGATGCAAGAAGCTTAGCCCTTAATGGAAGAGGAAAAGAACAGAAAATGTGCCACCTTTCACATCTGCATGCATTTGCCCTCATTTTGAATGTCTGTTGCTTCAACAGCACAGGAAACCTACAGCTTGCTTAATTGCCATTTGCACATGACATTATTTCACAATTTAGTGGTCAACATAGACTGAATTCTGCACTAATTTACAAGCCTGTGAAACTCACTGACTTCATCAGATGTATATGGAGGATAAGTTGGCTCTGAATTAGGCCCCTGCTCCTAGTTTACTTTTAATCACTAGGTGGAGCAAGGTAACTGTCCTATCTTAAAGTTAGTTATTTACATGAATTCATTAAAAGCATGTGTGTGCAGCAATGTAATTTCCTGGGTCTTCTAAATTTCCCTCTTTCATTTTCTCTCAATCCATGTAGAACTGTTTCGTTTATTTTTTTTAAATCACATTAGACAGTAATTAAATTAGGTTCAGCACATTCAGTATGCCATGCTGGTAGTAGGAAATGCCATTTAATGTCTTCCTTAAAAAATAAGAATTTATGTCAGCCTCTTCTAGCAAAGTAAAATCCTATAACTGCCAAACAAAAATATGAATTTTGCTAAATAAAATGACATAAGCTTATTAGTTTAACATGCTAAATACATAATGATTGATCTTTTTAAAATTATCCAGCCATCAGAAACTGAGTCAGCTTTAACCTGTAGTAATTAGAGGTTTTTCAGATGAAAACAGGTTTACTTTTAAATAGAATCTATGTTAAGTGAACCAGTGGATCATTGTATTTGAGTGTGATTGTGAATGAGGACTTCAGCGAATTTTGCTGAGGGTAGGTAAAATTCATGAAAACTTGAAAAATACCTGGAAAAATACTGGTTCACATGTGCACACACACAAGCATACTTGGGGGTGCACAACACTCTCCCTTCTGGTTCATCCCTTTTATAATTACCCTTGTTGTTATTTTAAATTGACAAAATCATAAACCTAAATTGTCCCCTCCCATCTAAAAAGGTGTGGCAATACAAAAGATGCATGGAAAATCCATGTGTTTTCAACTCCATTTCCAAGGGATCCAAACTTTTGTAGCACATATGGCCCTGTAACTGTGCAAATACCCCGAGAACTCTAGAAAAATATGGTTACCACACCACAGCTTTCCACGCAAGGTAAGGTTCTTTATGTCTAATAATTATATTAATGCTTCGAGTATCTAAATACACATCAATTGCATAATTTTGCAGTAATTCAATATCATTATATACAATTTCATTTGAGAACAAAAGTACTATGTTGCTGAGACCTACGGGACGAGCCAGATTTGGATGCAGATCTGAAAGGGCAACAAAGTTCTGTGCTGAAATGGAGTATGCCATTTTTTTTACCTGTAAGTTGAGAAAACAAATTTAGATCAAATAATCAAAACAAATCACTTAAAACTTTTCATATTGAGATTAACAGAAATTATTTTCTTGAAGAAAGATGCTTTGACATAAAGAAATTACCAAACCAGTTTTGCTCCAATAGTCAAAAATAAAATCTTAAAAGCACATCAAGCCTTCTTAGCTAGGCTGTTTTTGTTCTGTTTGTATGTATGGGAGGTATGAATGTCATTATTCTACCTACATTTCCACGAAATATGTTTGAGATTTATTTTAATACTGAATGACGACTGAGGCTCTGACTGTGCAAACACTTAGATGTCTAACTTCGATCTGAGTAACTCCCACTGAACTTAATGAAACTGCTCATATACCTAAAGTTTTTTAGATGCAGAAAGTGTTTGTTGAGTTGCAGCCTTAATCTGAATCTCTGATTAAATAATACATCATTAAAAAAAAGAAAGACGAAGAAACCTGAAAGCCCTATTCCCTTAAGAGCGTTCTCCAGCAGCATGCAAAGAGACTTCCAGAACTCATTTCTCATCCCCATTTTGTTGTTTTTGTCATTTGCTAGGGCTTAAATTGAATTAATTTCTAATTCAAAACGGCAAATTTTGACTGTAGAGCAAGGGCCCACTCCTGTGAAACACTGAGCATATACCAAGACTTCCATTCATGTCACATTTGGATATAAATATTTTGTTGTCTTGCATTACGCTATTTTTTGATACCAGATTTCAGTGTTTCTATTCCAAAACTGCCCCAAGCATTATTGATACTTTCCAAACAGATTTCAGGTTCTTCCCTCTTTTGATATAAAAGATTCAGCAAGTTCTCCAATACATAAGATATCTTATTGAGTAATGCAACAGGCTAATGAGTACTATTTCACACATCTAGCAAACTTTCATCTACATAAAATGGGATTCCTTCAAGATGACTTCTCAAGGTCTTAGACAAAGCCAAAGAGGCTAAATAGCCCAGAACGTCCCTTCCAGTCTTCTATTTCCACATCCACGTTATCGACGAAATACAGAAAAATATCTGAAAAGAAGAAAGAGCAAGCCTTGAAGAACACTTTAAATGAAAACCTCAACGAAAGACATCAGTGATTTACTGCTGACTGCGAGTCTTGATCCTGCCCCCAGGTAGGGTGGCCATCATAGAGGACACGCCGGTTTTCTGCTCCTCTGTCTTCTCTTGATACGAAACCCAACGCCTTAACGTCCTCTATTTTTCCCTTGAACAGAAAAATAGAGGACATAAAGGCGTTGGGTTTCCTATCAATAGAGGACAGAGGACAACCGGACTGTCCTCTATGATGGCCACCCTACAGTAGGGTGGCCATCATAGAGGACACGACGGTTTTCTGCTCCTCTGTCCTCTCTTGAGACGAAACCTGGCGCCTTTATGTCCTCTATTTTTCAAATAGAGGACATAAAGGCGCCAGGTTTCGTCTCAAGACAGGACAACCGGACTGTCCTCGACAATGGCCACCCTAATCCCAGTACTATGAACTAGACAAATTCCTATTCACTTCAATGGGAAGAGGACTGTTCTCAAATATCCCAAGGCATTTATCAACATCCTTTCCTCAAACACAGCGTTAAATAATTTACCACACCCTAAAGCTGAATGGGGTAAAAAAAAAAAAAAAAAGAATGATTTTGAACAACCTATGCATCCAAAAAAATCAATAAATTAGAGAGGCAATTAAAGATTCAGAAGGAGAAAATGCTACTTGCTCAGGCAGCTAAAATGCAGCATTCGGTGCTATCAACCATTCACCTTTTCTGTGGGAAATAAGAGGACCCAATCCTGAGGTGGTGAGTTGACTTCAGGAGCTGAGCAGGGGGGTTGGTATAGCTCAAGACCTGCTCAGCACCACCCAGGATGAGGCTCTTTATGCCCCAGGAAAGATCAGCTAGGAGAGACATGGGTTTTTTGGGGTATCCTAGCCCGGGGCTTTCCAAGGGTGTCCCTCGACGTCAGCACCGGGAGAGCGCAAACGTGACGTACACGATAAACCCAAAACAGGTTGACCTGCTGCGGTCTTTCTTTGCAACAGAAAAAAAAGAAAAATTGCGGTTATTTTTCTGTAGCCCAAAAGAGCGAAAGCTGAGGGCATTTTCCGAGAGTCTAAGAAGATGGAGATCTACATAGGGCGGCCATCATGGAGGACAGCGTGGTTGCCCTCTGTCCTTTATGGATACGAAACCCAGCGCCTTTACGTCCTCTACTTTTCTCTTGAACATAAAAATAGAAGACATAAAGGTGTTGGGTTTCATCTCAAGAGAGGACAACTGGACAGAGGACCCAACCGTAGGGTGGCCATCATAGAGGACACGACGGTTTTCTGCTCCTCCGTCCTCTCTTGATACGAAACCCGACGCCTCTGTCCTCTATTTTTGTAAGATAGACATTTTTTTCCTGTCGCCGTGTTTTTTTTCCTGTCACAAACATGGTAGCAGGTCGGCCTGTTTTGGATTGCTGTGGATTTCCTCGTGGAAATCCCGGGGTCGATCCCGCGCGTCACGTCTGCACGCCTCCCGGCGGGCGCTAACATTGGAAAGAGAAAAGCACAGTGCGGTGTCATATCCGGAGAGGACCACCGGACCACCCTCTACGACAGCCATCCCTCGTGCCACGCCACCGCCACTCCGACCCGACAGCAACGGGGAGGACGAGGACGTTTTTTCCCAGATGTTGGTGGTGCGGAGCGTTGGTCCGCCTCACGAATGCGTGGTGGTGTAGGATGGCGGAAGGACTTCGTCGTGAAGCGGGCATCAGGGCTTACACGATCAGCGAGGCTGAGGGGGACCCCCACCCCTGCCAGCTTGTGGCCCCACAGTGGCGTTGAGGGTGGCTGAGGGAGGAGCCCGGCGCGCAGTGCGCATGCGCCGCCGGCCCCTTTCCCGCGCTTTGCAGCGCGCGGGAACCGGCTCCTCCCTCCGCTTGCGGGAGAAACACGAGGAACGCGTCACCGGCACGTGAGGCCCCGCCCCCGCCCCCGGCCACGCCCCTGTGCGCGCCGTACACGCGAGGGGCGGGGCTGCGCGCGTGCGGAGTGCGCATGTGCACACCGGTGTGAGACCCAGTGGCCGGCCGGCCGTGTGCGCGGGAGGGGGGGTGTGCGCAGGTAGCGCGCGTGTGTGTAGACACCCGCAAACCATGTGTAGGGTGTGCAATACACGGCAAACAATATACTGTTATATATACTATTATATAACCGTACAGTCTTTTATATTATATTACAATAATAAAGTATAGTATGTATGCTATAATGCAGCAATGTATTATATATCCTATTATATAACTCTATAATATAATATAATATAATAGCATGTATACTATAATGCAGCAATATAACATTTATCCTATTATATAACTACAATATATTACAATAATGTATAATATGTATGCTATAATGCAGCAATATATTAAATATCTTATTATATAACTCTATAATATAACAATAGTATAGTATGTATACTATAATGCACCAATATAATATATATCCTATTATAACTACAATATATTATAATAATAAAGTATAGTGTGTATACTATAATGCAGCAATATATTATATATCCTATTATATAACTAGATTATGTATAATATAATGCAACAATATACTATATATCATATATAACGACATATGTATAATATAATGATAAAATATATTATGTATAATATAATGCAATCATATATATCATACATAATGATGCATCTTGTGTATAATATAATAAAGTATAGTATGTATAACATACCTTATGTATATACCCATGTATACTATATTTGTATAGTATACATGATGTGCATTGATATAAACTATATACATTATATTGTATATTGTTTGTGTGTGGGTGTGTATATATATATATATATGTATAGTGTATTCAATATACACTATTTTACTAGTGTGCGTGTGTATATATAAAACCGGATATTGTTTATATGTGTGTGTGTGTGTGTGTATTACATAGTGTATTAAATATACACTATTTTACATCTGTGTGTATACACACACCAGATGAATATTGTGTGTGTGTGTGTGTTTACACACACAAAACATGTATACTATACATAGTATATATTGGGTATATGTGTGTTTACACAAAATATATAATGTATGTGTGTGTCTGCATACACAATATATGCTATATCTACTATCTACATATGGTATGCATATATATTATATGTGTGTGTATACACACACACACACACACACACACACACAGGATATACATTACACAAAGAAACACACACACAAAGAAACAAGAGCCTCCCTCATCTTTGGCTCTTGTAGACCTCCTATGTATACATACAGGTGTGTATATTTACACGCACATGCACACAAGGTCTACAAGAGCCAAAGACTGAGGGATTATTGTTAATGTTTTTGTCAACAGACTGTTTGCAGTGTTTCCCATCTAAACAAATTAGTTTTTGTTGAAAGCTGCCTCCCAGGGTAAGCAAGCATAGTCGATCTCAACACATCATCATAACTGCTCCTTCGTAAGCATTATTCTGCTCCGCTGCACATCGCATTTGTTTCCAAAGATCAGCCTTACAGAGAGGAGCTGTACTGTCTTAATAATGAAATCAGCATCTCTGCTGCGCAAAGAAACGGCCTTTTCTTGCAGCGGTGCTGGAGAATTGTTTTCTCTTCCTAGCAATAGCATTGACTTGTCAATACAACCCTGATGAATATGAACAGAAATAAGGGCAAGACATGTCTAGTTCTTGCCACTTGATAAAGAAGTCAAGGGTGAGCGAACAAAGGTCAGGGCTGAAACAGTTTGTATGTATGGCAAGGGGAAGAAATGATATGAGATTGCATCTGTCACCTCTTCAAAACATGCCGGGTGTCAAACGGTCAACACAATGCCGCGTCCACGTCATTTCTGCAGGTAATGTTATTTAAAGCCTTGCAGAAATGGCAGAATGATATAGGTTAATATTGTTTGATAGACTATAAGAGGGAGCAATTTAGCTGAGCAGGGCTTTCGTTCTTTTTTCAAACGAGATCCGATACAACCATGGTTTTTTCTTACCCTTCTTCCCCCTCACCCCCCTTAAAAACCACCACAAAGACCAAATCCTGCGTGCCTTATTTAAACAAAAAGTGCTCTGCGCACAGCAGCAGAGCTTGGCCAACAGGATCATTTCCAAATTCACTGAGGTCCGCCGCGACTGACCGCAGTGGACTTTGGATCAGACCCGGAGTCAGCTACCACGCGTGCAGTTTGGCTGGACAGCTCTTATAAAAATGCTTTTCCCTGCAGTTGGATTGCTCGCTCCAGCACAAAAAAAATATCCAACTCGTTGTCTGAGCTGAATTGATTTGCGTGTGTTTGATCAAAACCATATAGTTATTAGGAACAAAGCTTGGCCCAGATGTTCCAGTTTTGGTGTTGGCAATCCTGGGTGCCACGGCTCAATGCAGAGATCAAAAAACTTTCTTTAAGTTTCAGTAAGCGAGCAGCTACCTTGTCGATTTGGGTTTAGTGGAGCCCATAATAATGATGATGTAACACCCCACCGCAGTCTCTGTTTTTCATAGCGCTGCAGTATACAAACTGTAAACATGTCACTTATATCCTGGATTTTATATGCTCTTGATTGAAGGGTGTATTCCAAGATGTTAGTCTGCGACAATCAAGAGACCCCTCAAGGAAATGTGCCATAAAAAGAGCTCCCATGTGAAGGTACAAAGTGCATATCTTTGGGAGAATGTGTTTTATTAAGTTCTGTTTAAATGCATCCTTAACTGGCGCTTGAAGTATTTTGTGGGAACAGAGATGGGCCTGTTCCAAACCCCCTCCCCCTCTGAAGACCTACACGTTTTAGGACAGACAAAACCCCAAAATTCACACCTAGCCTTTAACGGGCTGAACCAGAAACACTCCCAGAAGTGTGGGAAAGTGCAGATCCCAAACAAAACGGTGTATTTCAAGCCCACTTATGTAGGGCAGACAGATTGCAATTGTAAGGCTTTTTTTGCTGCATCTAAATCCATTAATTGTTACCACACTTGAA